TGGGGGGCCGGGGCTTTCTTAGGTCGGTTACCGAAGAGCCTGTTTAGTACATCCTCGACCGTCGTACCGAAGAACTCTTGAGTATAATTTTCCCACCACTCACCGAAGGTGTCAGTGCAATGGGTTTCTGGGGTGGCCGGTCGTAGGCGAAATCTTTGGCAGTACTCTTGAAACTCCTTCGCGGCAGTCCTGCACTCGTTCTCTGAAGAGCGAGGCTCGCGTCCGCGGCTCAATACTGTGCGGGAAGAGAGAAGGGGGACGGGACAGCCCTGAAGATAGCCGAGCTGACGGGCAAGGAAGTTCGGATGGTACACTTCCCACCCCGACCGTTTCCCGTCGCAGCCGAGAGGAAGGTCGCGAGCAAAGCACGAACGACCCCCAGGTTCGGCGAAGAGCGGCGTCCTCCTCTGCCGCCCACGTAGAGGTGGGCAGTTTGATGGAGGGGGGGTAATCACGACGACGACAAATCAGGAATTCGTCGCTTGTGAGATCGTCAAGGGCAAAGAGGTACCTAAACACCTCTTCGGCCTGATGAGGAGGCGTTGGTCGGGAGGCTAGCTGAGGACCAAGAGCCTCTGTTGCTGAAAAATCAGCTATAGCCGGCCGAAGGGAGGCGAAGTACACCTGCAACCAGAGCTGGAAGACCCAGAGAGGGCCATTCTGGTGGGGGGTCCACCGTGTGGAGAGTCGCCTCGGCCAGGCAACGGAAGAGGTGGGCAAGAATATTAGAACTCAACGCCAGGACGCGACCACTGGCCAGGGCTTCGGCCACTGGCATATTCTCGACCAAACATTTGTTTGATTTGGTACAACAAATGTATTTATTGTACCAGTAGAAGAGGAAGGCTTCATGCTCTCCTTCTCGCAGGTCCTCTTCCCCTCGACCGGCGAAGTGAAGGTAGAGAGTGTTGTAGTTGAGAAAGTTCTTGTGGAGCTTCTGTATTTCATCCCTCGACGGGATGTGACCGTCACTATTCAGGGTCTCGAAGGCTCGACGGTCGAAGAGCGTCTTCAGATCGATATTCGACGGGTGCCCGGAGAGGGTCGCGTCGATAGGGATCCCGGTGGCCGAGGTCCCCAAAAATGGCGGTGATGTCCAGGATGGTGGGACCAATGGGACCAAGGGGAAGGACCATTGTGTTGGTGGCTGAGCACCAGAAGCATAGAGCGGCTAGGAGCAGCTCCTTGTCAGGGACAATGTCCATCGACGAAAGGAGGATGGCGTCGTAGATGCCCAGGATTTTCCATTTTTCGCCGAAGAGCCGTTCCATTCGGACAACCCAGGTCGCCCAGGTGGTGGTCGTCGAGGGCCAGGAGCCTTGGGGCTTTGCCGCCTCCCATCTCGACCATTCAAACCCTTGGAGCAAGGGTGTAAGGCAGTGTTCCTGGAGAAGACCAGTGATGGTCGGCGGGATTGTTGCCTTGAAGAGAGGACCTAGGATTTGGTGGACGGTGCTCATGTCGTTCTCGAACCGTATATTCTTGATCGAGCTCCGATCAAGGATCTTCTGATGCTGGTCGCATTCCCGGGAAAGCTTGGAGATGAAGGAGGCCATTGTAAAAGCACAGCGTAAGGAGGTTTTTTGGGTTGGGGATTTGAGGACGAAAGCTTGGAATGGAGGAATGCACTTGAGAGCAAGAGTAGGGGATTTCAGGAAGTTTGAGAACGTAAAGTACAAATGAGGAAATTTCGGTATTTATAGAGTAATGGGAGGAAGAGCAATCGTTCGAAATTCAAAACAAAGGGCAAAATCGACCGGAGGAATCGTTGATCATGATGAGCATTTGGGGAATGCGGTTGAGAAGACCGACGGTTTTTAGGTTTTGGGGGCGCACGATCGCGTGTGACGGCGAAGTTAATGACGAAAAGACGGTTCGACGCCTGCACGATGACAGGAGGGCTCACGGACTGATGAAATGGCTCGCGGATTGAGATAGTGGTCATAATGACGAGACGGTTCGAGCAGGCGCACGCTTCAGACGTCATTATCGGGGATTGGCCATGTTAGGGGATGCCACGTGGCGAGTGGTTTAGCAGGATCAAGATCGTGCGATCATGTTCAATAAATGCGCCTTGGAACTCGGGTATTGGGATCCTGAGTGGTAGATTCGCTTCTTCAAGGCCGAAACTCGGCCGAAGGTTTCAGGCCGAGGACCTCAAAAGCGAGGGGGCAATGTTTGGGCCCAAAATAGCAGTTTGGGCCGAGGGAGGTATCACTTTCGGCCCGGGAAGACTACGGCGAGAAAGTCTTGGGGGCTTCAGCTCATGGGCTTCTAGGCCTAGGTCGGTTAAATCAGAGTGCAAGTCGAGTCCTAATACAATAGGGACCCTCGACGAGATCAGTAAAACTAGAAGGCGAATCCGGCTTAGTTAAGGACTAGATTCGTAGTCCTAGCAGAGGTAGGACTGATTGAGGTAACGTTAATCCGGAGAAGGAAACCTAGTTCGAATAGGATTAGAACTCGGGCTCGGTGTTCTGCTTCTATAAATACAAGACATTCAGCAATGGAAAAGCCCCACAAAAATCAATACAAAAATTGCCCTGCGCAAACTCTCACAACTTGAGATCTTTTTCTTTTCCCTTTTCGCTGACACATCTTCCGTTGGCATCAACAGCACTGTGGAAGCAACCGGTGATATCTTAAGTCGGCATAGATAGCTCTGTCACCGTAGAGTCGGTCGGTCTCGCAGTATCTTCCGTTGGCATCAACAGCACTGCGGCGAGAACGGTCGACTGCCTATCCAAGTCTCGGTCGAGAAGGGTTTTTCGAATCCTTGTTGGTCGAGGTCATCTCATTAGCCTTCTCGGCGAGGTGGGGTGTTACAGTTATTACATTCGGCACATTGTAAGCCGAATTCGGTTCGTGAACTTCGCAAATTAGCAGCCTTGTCTTCAGGCTCGAGAGCCCAAGAGGCCGAGAGTTGTTCCTTCCTCGGCCGCAATCGCAAGACACAGAAGTCAGCAGCGCGCTCAACGCAACATCAACAAATTTACTCCTCGGCCGAGCCTCGGCCGACGAGTTGGCACGCCCCGCAATCACCGAAGGACGTAGTTAGCTTAGAATATATTCGGCCTGCGCGCCACGTAGGTTTTGTAATTTCTAGGGTCAACACTATCATAAGATCTTTTCTTGTAGCCAGTATATTCATAAGTTTTTTCTCGAATATTCTTTCATGAATTGTAGAAAATGAAGAAAAACTCATTAAAATTCAAGATCTAAATATAATAATGAACACGTTCATTCCTGTTACCTGTTGTGGAACTTCAACGTTTCACCTTTGATAGATCTAGGAAAGGGTTTGGGAAGGGACGAGCCTTTATCTCTTATGATCAATCCAAAAAAGCATAGTGCTCGAAATACGTTTAGTTTAAAAAAAAATTTAAAAGGTATTTTTTGTATAATTTTTCTCTTGCCAATGTATTTTCCGTATAATTGAGAAGTGTACACAAAACAGAAATATTTTTCAACAAATTTACGCATGTATATGGTTTCCTAAATTTACTAACCAAGCTTGCTACTAATCTATACTAAAAAAAAAAAAAATGGTTTAAATCCGAAACGTAAGGGGTTGAAGAAGACAACTCTAACAACATATGTTTAACAGAAATCCGCCAAGTTACCACATTAATAATGGTTTTTTTCTTTTCTCTTTTAGATGAAAAATAATGATACCGCACCACGATCAAATCCAACTGCTTCACTGGGGAATATGTTTTATCTGATCCGAGTCGGAGCATGTACGTGTGATGAGTAAGTTGTGTTGTGTGTGCATATTGGTTTTCTATTGTTGTTATAAAGTCATTATCCTCCCCTAAAACCCAACACGAACTGCTAATTACTACTTAGAACGCAACAGCCAAACCCACTCCTTACTTAAACAAACATCTCCTCCATCATTTAGAGGATCTATTATCTCTTAAACTCACCCACCACCCACTACATACATAAGATTCGGCCCTAATCAATTAATTAAGGGGGTGTGATATCCACACCTCATTTTACTTCTCACACATTTTTTTAATTTTCGGTCGTCGGATCAGATGAATTGAAGAAGATCAACGGACAAAAATTATCAAGGAGTGTGTGTGATAAGTAAAATGAAGTATGTGGATAGCACACCCCTTAATTAAGATATATAAAAATAAAACTTGAATTGAATATTCTAGCCTTAATTATTTTCTAAATCTTTCCAAACTACTTCAATAAGCTAATTAATTAAATATTAATTATTTGTCATACATGAGTTGGAGTATGATCGAGATCAAATTTTCTACACCCAAAATAGGTCTGGCATCTATGTAGTCCTAATGAATGTTTGACACATATTAAATTTATAACAACAAAATTAAGAAAAGTTAAGATAATAAATATCACGTTAATCATTTATTGGGCCACAAATAACCTACACCTATTTTAAGTGCAAAAGATTTGATCTTAGTATAATCAAACAAGTATGCAAAATTTTGATTAACTAATTAATCAACTTCCACCTTGTACAGTCAATCAATCAAAAGATCCCAATCGGTGTTAGGAATCTGAGTGGAAGCTGAACCCCCCAAAGTGCATCAAGCAATACAAGTCCCTATCATGACCCGGATACCCAACCATATATGACCCGAAACAATTGGCTGATTAATAAGCCCACACATAACACGTAATGTAGCCCATGGATACTGACATTAGGTATATATCATGTTATTGATACCATCAATACTGCAATTCCATGGTTGTTGACATCGTGACATCTTCTCATTTGTCAAACAAGCAAACTGGTGATACAAGATTTTCTCACATATTGTACACATCAATAACGTGATCCGTCATCTGACAAGAGAGAGACATACAATTGGGAAAATTTTCTTGTGGAGGCCTAGGCCTCCATGCCATAAATAATTTCAATTTTCTACATCCCGAAACTAGTAAATATAATATCAAATCATCTCGACCCTCGCAAAGTAGAAAGCATGGTTGGCTTGGGTCGCTCTTTTAAAATACTGTGTACTAGTGCTTAAGGGTCACAATCTATCTTTCTGTCTTGAGGCCATCCAAACTCCTCCAAGAATGCCAATGCAACTCCATTTGACCACCCAAATCCAGTCTGCATTGCAATACGCGCAAACAGATTTAAACAAATCATATTAGTCTGATAGCATCTAAAGAACATCTATATAGAGTATAAAACAATCACCTTAATTTCTAATGCAATTAAAGTGATCAATTTCGAATCCCCTTTCCCGAAAGATTTAGACTTGTTTAAGATATCGTCTTTGTTAAAAAAAATTAAAAAAATTAAAAAAAAGTGATTAAGTGCATACCTGGGGTATGTATTCACCACCACCACCGGTTGCTCCGCACTCTCGCACATCATATTTTTCATGCATTGTGTGTGTTTTCTGGAAGGCAACATAGTTGGTTCTGATCCACCTCGCAGCAATGTCTTCCGCCATTGATTTCGCTTCTTCTAATCCAGAATTTAACAGACCTTCAACTATCATGTGTTGGAGTGGGGCCCAACCATTTGGAAAATCCCTGTTTTTACAAGCTCCCATCAAGCAATTTGCAATATAATTCCAGAGAAAACTAAAACATATTCGAATTTAGTTCGTCTTCGCTTACCATTGTTGTGTTGAGTTTGTGAGGGATGTTGCAATACCAGCAGGACAAATCAGTCCTGAGCTTCGAAGACTTTTTGTAACTTTCTCTACCACAGAAGCATCTTCACTCACACGAAGGGTAAAGGCTTTCTCAGTTTACAGCGTATACGAAAATAATATATGGAAATAAGCATCTAAACCAACATTCAAAATGACAATTTATTTCAATGATGGATAGCGGAATATTTTCATGTTTAGGGTTTCGGGTTTAGCAAGATGGAATTTTGGAATCACAAACCTGAGTAAAACGGCTCAAGCCACAAAGGGACAAAATTTGAAGCGTATACATTCTGATTCTGGTTACAGGCTTCCCATGTATGATCTTCCTATAAGCATATCAATGTGAAGAAATTAAGATAACCACCATCATAAGTTCATAACTATCAGAAAATTAAAGAGTTATACGATTATTATACCTCATTGCATGTGTTTCTGTTGAGCCAGTAATCTAGCCATTGTCCCTTCTTTGCATCCCAGAAAACAGCTTTTATGGCCTTATGCCTTGCTTCGGAGGCTTTCAGGAAGCGCTCAGAAATTTTAGAGTCTCCTGTGACTTTTGCAAGGAAGGCAATGTCATGTTCCATCTGCATCAACAGATAAAGCAGATTGTAATGTTTGCAGATAATAAGATATACAGGGGCTTCTTTTGTTAGGAATCAATAGACGTGCCCTGAGTAAGAATGCATTCAAATCAACAGGTAAAATCCATGTGGTAGCCAACGTTGTAAAATCCGAATGGTTCCTGCAACAAGAAAACAAAATCCTCACTATTATAAGGCATCCTAAATTTTAAAAGTCGACTTGTTCCTAGAAGATACTGAATATAAAAACTTCTTCGTTACATCATCCATCTTGTACTGAAATCCCATCCAGTCTCGGCAGTTGATGCCACTTCCCGGTAAAATTGCTGTTTCTCAAAAAGGTTCGAGATATTGGAAGCCAATTCCTTGTCCTGACAGGCATAAGATGTTAAAAGGGATACACTACGTAAATGTTTCCCGCCATTGATATAAACAACAGAAATGTTTCTCAAATAAAGCACGCAGAGAGGACATACAATGGTTGAAGATTCAGGCCTCGGTGTGTTCCACATTGCGTAGTATCGACTCAAAGTATGATTCTGAGCTTCAGAATCCTGAACAATTACCTTATGAATACCTACAGCAACAGAAAGCCAAATTAGAACTATGTAAAACCCACTGCAGATAAGTTTATCAAAAACGCCAAAGAAGGCAACCAAGACAATGTGAACCTTTCATCGAAACAGATTCTCACCATACCTGAATTCCAAAACTCATGTTCTTTCATCAGTGAAGGGAGAGCCTTCCGTGCCAATTCCACATTGCCCGTCCGCTTGTATATTTCGTGAACCATTGCACTCAGAAGTGGTGGCTGGCTGCAAATTTTCCCAAAGGAGAAGGAAGAAAAGTGGTAAGTGACAAATGAATATAAAAGCTTGCTTGTATTAGAAGTTATAAAAAGTGTAAAACAATAAAGGTAGAAAAATAGGAAGTAAATGAAGCATTACCTTCTGTTCGCGTAATAGGTCCTTGCACCATTTAGGACATATCCATATTCTTCTATCAAGGAAAGGAGATTGGTCACAATATTTTTTGCTGTATCATACATTTTACTCGCTAGCAAGCCCCTGCACAACATCTTAACACCATCAAAGGGTACTTCATCCATGTTTGGCAACAATGAACAAGCAACGAAAATTTGTCTATGAATTATACTCGGAGTTGCATTTTCGTCATTGAATTCCTGTAATAATTGATGTTGTCCTCAAATTAAGTCACACGTTGCACTCTAGGGCCTTTCCGTCAACTCTCTCAACAACTATTATTGTAATTTAGGGACGAAAATGCAACTTGAGGGTATGATTCAGTGACCATTGCTACAGTTTATCCAATGAAAAACCTTGTTTCTGAGCATTAAACTTCTACCAACTATCCCCTAGGACCCCTACCCTGCAAAGAAAAAGAAAAAACAAGACAGGAAGCCACTATGCATACAAGGCTTCTATCAAAAGGGACTTAACCATCCAAGGTAGTCTTACACAAGAAGGTCGATTGGATTTTTGGCTCAAGTAATCAATAGGATCAGATTCTCAACTCACATTATAAATTAATATCACCTTTTCAAAAAGAAACAATAATGCAACAAATGGGCGGCTACCATGTGACATGTACTGTCAAGCAAGTGTATTAATGAAGGTTTTGAACTCTTTACATAAGAAGCACTTTTATTCATAAGCACATTTACTAAAAGCATTTTTATTAGAAATACGTTAAAATTTTATTAAAAGGACGAAGTGCACTCTGAAAATAGCATCTAACACGTGCTCCTCTAAAGCGTTTTTATGACCAAGCTATAAATGCTTTTAAGTTTTTTCTAGCCAAACATTTGTCATAAACATTTTAAGTCAATAGAAAGCGTTTTTAGCTATTTCAGAAGAAATTTCAAACATGTCTAAAATAGTATATGACCAAGCTTATAAAGAAAAAGAAAGAAAGCATGAATACTCCTGGATGAACACAATGCTAATTCATGATTTTTGTGCACATGATTCAAACAACATGATTAAAACTTTGATTTTCTCAAAAATTAAAACAAAAAGAAAGGGAAATTAACACTAATGACTTACCTAATCACCCAGTAAGAATCCCAGTAATAAACCTCCCTGAACCTTGAACCAGGAATCACAAACTCCTCAGGCAGAGGAAGCAGTGTGTGCAGCTCAGGCTTCTTGTGGACCCCACCACAGACCTTCCTGCTCAAGTTCTTCCAAAGGGAATGCACCTCCAGAGCCCAAGCCCTCACTTCCGGGTGCTTCACCTTCGGCAGGAACCCCTCCGGCTCCGGCACGAAATCCACCGGCTCTGCAACCACCATATCCTCCCCTGCACCACCGAAGTACTCATCCACATACTCCTTCAAATCTTTGGCCGACACGGACCCACCTGCCGACCGTGGCAGCTGATCGAAAGCCTTCTGAGTCGCCGGCAATTCGAGCTTTAGCGACAAGTCAACGTAGTATTTTGGGTCGAAATCTTTTTTCCCGAAGGTGGCAAGGGCGGTTTCTTGGAGTTTTTCGAGGAAGGCGACCAATGGGGTGGTGGGTTTTACGGGGCCGGAATCGGAAACGCAGGGAGGGGGTGCTTTAGCGCCGGTCATGGTCGAGGCTTTTGCCACCGTTGTTGTAGTCATGACTAATAGAAGGAAAAGCAGAGAAGAGAGGAACGGGAATGGAGAGCTGTTGTCACAGTTGGGAAACCGTGATTCCGGCATTGATGGAAGAGTTGTGATGGGAGTGGAAACAGAGTGGGCAAATGGGCAACATGATGAAGGTGGAAGAAAAATGACAGAAGTCGGAATCGGAAAGAGGACAAAAGCCGGCGCTTTGGAATTAGGTTGGAATCGGGTTTTTTCTTCTCAGTATTCGTTGAATGGAGAGAGTGCCTTTTGGCTCTCGACAAATACAATGTTCAATCTTTTGATGGGATGCTGCCGACAAGATAGAACCAACAAAGGGAAATGGTTGGTTTGAAGTTTTGAGCTTTGACCTTATAACAATACTTTTTTGGAGTACATTGATATCTTTATTTAAAAGATTCAAATTTAACACATCTTACTTTTAAGTGAAGAAAAATACTATCAGACCGTAATACCGAATGACGATCTTATAACAATACTTGTATCATGGTGGATTATATATAGCCTCCTTCTTCTAGAAATATAGTTTAAAAAAATTGTGATCATTTACTGTTTTGATATAAAATTAACTGTGGAGGAGAATATTTATTGTTATTTTGTTTACTGTTGGAATAGATCTGACCACATGTGCAATAAATTTTTTAAACCTGAGTGTGCTAAAAGACGAGATTGTATGTGTGTATACATGTTAAAGGATAAAGTAATTTTTTTGTTTTGAGGGATTCAACCTAAAAGAAACTTATCTATCATGTTCGACCATTTCTTTCTTACAAAATGAGTAATGTTAGAGAGATTAAATTTTTTAAATTAAATTTATAAACTAAATAATATGATTGTAAATAATTAGATTATTAATTAAATATCAATTAACGTGTTTATTTTTTTATTAACAATACATCATTTAATTTGTAATTTGATTTAAAAAAATTAATCTCTCTGACATTACTCATATTGTCATATTTAATATATGTTTATAGGAAAGAAATGGTCCAACATGAGAGATAAGTTTCATTTAGGTTGAATCCCTCAAAAACGAAAAAAATTACTTTATCCTTTAACTTTAGGCCTAATCGGATAAATGGTCCCGTGGTCATAAGGTATTTTGATGATAGCCCATGTGGTAAAAAAATTCGGATTTAAACCCCTGTGGTCTAACTCTGTTAGGATTTATGCCCTTCTGTTAAATAATGCTGACGTGGCTGCCACATATATGTCACGTGGCTGCCACATATATGTCACGTGGCTGCCAAATGTCTGCCACGTGGCAAAAATAATATTTTTTTTTAAACCTGAATTTTTACACCAAAAAAAAAAAAAAAACCCAGATCTGCAAGAAGAAGAAGAAGAAGGAGGAAAAGGGAGAGGGAGGAGGGTCGCGCGGGGAGAGGGCTCCGGCGGGAAGAAGAAGAAGAAGAAGAAGAAGGAAGAGGGAGAGGGAGGAGTCGCGCGGTGAGACCGGCGGGAAGAAGAAGAAGAAGGAAGAAGGAGAGGGAGGAGGGTCGCGCGGGGAGAGGGCTCCGACGAGGGGGGGAGCTGGTTTCCGACGGGAAGAAGAAGAAGAAGAAGAAGTCCGGCAGGGGGGGGGGGAACGGGCGGAGGGCGGGGGGAGCTTCTGGGTTTTTTTTTTTTTTGTAAAAATTCAAGTTTTAAAAAAAAAAATTAAAAATTATTATTTTGCCATGTGGCAGACATTTGGCAGCCACATGTCATATATGTGGCAGCTACGTCAACATTATTTAACAGAAGGGCATAAATCCTAACAGACTTAGACCACAGAGGTTTAAATCCGAATTTTTTTACCACAGGGGCTATCATCCGAATACCTTATGATCACGGGGACCATTTATCCGATTAGGCCTTAACTTTAATATACCAAACGAGGCCTATATAATTAGGATATTATTCTTTTTGTCGATTAGCATAACTTTTGGTAACATATATGCAACACAACTTTTCAGATATGGGTTCCGTCAATTTAAATGTTTTTATTGTAATATTTAATATATGTTTGTAGGAAAGAAATGATCCAACATGAGAGATAAGTTTCATTTAGGTTGAATCCCTAAAAAACGAAAAAAATTACTTTCCTTTAACTTTAACATACCAAACGAGGCCTATATAATTAGGATATTATTCTTTTTGTCGATTAGCATAACTTTTGGTAACATATATGCAACACAACTTTTCAGATATGGGTTCCGTCAATTTAAATGTTTTTATTGTAAAGATAATTTTGAATTAAAGATTAAAAAATTAAATGGTTTCAATTATTATAAATTTACAGGTGAAATTGAAAATACAATATTTACAAGGAACGAGATATGGCTGACCATCAGGTTTTAGGCCGAACCACCACCCGTCCGCCCTTTTTACTTGGATTTTTCCCATCTTCCATTTATCGATTGATGACAATTGCGACCTCCAAAATCCCCAAAAGAGAGAAGATAAACATTGTTTGCTTCTAAGGATTTTCCAAACAAACGACGTGTCGTCCAATTTTCATGTTAATTTATTTTTAAAGGGAATAATAAAAGTCAGAAAAAGAACAAGGGAAAAAAAATAAAAAGGGGACAAAAATAAGGGGGAAAGAAAACGAAAGGAGGGAGGGGTGGGGTGGGGTGGGTATTTGAGTATTTTGGTTAAGCTCCTCCCTCAGATATCCCTTGAGTTCCACACGGAAGGAAGCTGCGATTCTTACAGCTTCAGAAATTGGAACGATATTTTTATATTAACGAGCAACAAATTCATCATCGGAGGGAGCTCACCCAAATAATCCACTCAAAAATGCAATTCCAAAAAATAAAATAAATAATAATAATTAACTAAAAAACAATAACTACGGACTCTTTCTATATCGTCTGCGGAGAAGAACAAAGAGGCGGAGGTGCTGAGGTTGTCGCCTGGGGGTATGTGCGTAATTACACGCAGCGATGAGGGTTTTGTTTAGGCTTCGTGTTACTACTTTTTGGATCTCAACACTTTTAGTGGACCCATTTCAAACCCAATATCGGCCCATTCATTTGAGCCCAATAATAACCCTCACCTGCCTATTTATCTTAGGACTTGTTTGGATGTGATTTTAAAATGACTGAAAACGCTTTTAAAGAAAATATTTTTTGGTTCCAAAAGCACTTAAAATGCTTTCTGCAAGAAGCACTAGTTATGTGCTTCTTTCAGGAACTAGTGCTTCTTTCATGAAGCACTTTAAATGCTTTTTTCAGAATTTACTTGCATTTTTACTAAGGATTGGTTCAAAAATCAATTTCACCAAAAGTACTTTCAGTCATTTTAAAAACACATCCAAACGAGCACTAATCCTCCCTCACCACCTACACATCCAGTTCATCGAAAATATGGACCGCTCGTTGGAGTATTCAAACCAGTTCATCACCAATTCACGGAGTTCTCAACCGGTTCAGGACCGCTTCGGTTGGTTTTTTACTTTTAAAATATTGAAACCAAACTGACCAAGCAGTTTACCAAGGGTAAATAGTCTTCCAAACCCATGAAAAGAGGACTTACCTGTAATAGGTTCACTGCCACAAGACGTCCCAGTCCATGTAAGTTGCTCTCCATGAAAAGGTACTGAGTTGGGTCTCTAGGTCTCACTATAAACGCACCTTTACAGCCGATTCATTGCATCAAAAAGAAAGAAGAGAAATTTATGTTGGACCATTTTCTATGTTGGACCATTTTCTAAAGAATCTTAGATCTCTCAGGATAAAAGCATTGAATGGAATTTGTAACGCTCAGAGTCAGGTTCATCAGAACCTGACTTCTTCAGGATAACTTATAACTGGTAAAGAATCATGACCACAATCTAGCTCCCCACCCTGATTGAAAAAGTTGTGTTCAACTTTGAAAGGATCTATGGCCGGTCAAAAAGGCGTACAATCTCACTTACGAGACTGAAAGTTGTCATAAGGACACCTAAGCAATCCAACTATCTAGCAGTCCTAAAAACAAATAAATTCATGAACCAAACCGACTTCCAAAAAATTTCTAAAAAGGGATCTTGCGGTCCATGGTATCAAGCAATAAATCCTGGAAGCAGAGCAGTAAAAATAATGGAAGGTTTCGCAGACCACCAACCTGGAAATCTGGATATTGGACCAGGCGGAAGCAGAGACAGCCTTCCGGAACAGAAAAGCAGCACCACCCCGGTTGACTGGTGGACTCTCTCAGGGCCTTGTTTACCGCCCCACGACATAATTTACTGACTTTCCAACTGAAACTGATGTCAGCCAATAGTAACTCACACAACGTAAAAGATTCCTCTCCTTTTCCCCCTTCCTTATAACCTGGGTGAACAAGGCACAAAGTGGTTATATAGAATAAGGTGAAAATCCAGGAGAGGAGTGAGAGGAGTCAAGTTCATGGAGAAGTCCACTTACCCGGAGAAGAAAACCAAGGTTCAGGCATCGAAGAGAATGTTGAAGGAGAAGAAAGCAAGGTTGTACATTATCAAAAGGTGTGTGTTGATGCTACTGTGTTGGAGGGAACATGCAGACTAATAATGGCGGTGAAACGGTGAAGTTTCACCATCCATTTTTACCACTACTTTTGTTCTAGTGTTTGCAGTAGTTGATTAGAAATGTTTCTTCTTGTGTATTTGCAGCATTGTTGTTAATAGCACTAGGATTTTAGAATGTGGGATGCTAGACCGTGCCACCTACAGGCCCAGTTACAAGCACAATCAATGATAAATAACAACACTGTCAGTGTTCATATCGAACAAGTGATCGACTTTGAAATGATCTGTTCACCGCTCTGAACAAATCCAACGTAAGCATCTTTTGGTTATTGGCTCTATCCCCAGCCCCTTCATATTCCGCATCCTTCTGCTTCTTTGCTTCCTTTCCTCGATCAGGGACTGCGTCCCATTTCGCCAGTATGATATATTCTCCACACTCCCTGAATGTGTAATCTACTGAGGAGAGGATACAACCCTCAATCATGAACATAATTCCCTGAATGCATAATTGCAAATCAAAGATCTAAAACCATAATTATAAATCAACTTGAAGAAATTCTGTCCATCTATCCATACATTTGTTTGTTTCATGAAACAGTGGAACCACCATTACATGCCCTTCCAATCCAATGATGCTTATCAACTCAACTCGATAAAAACGTAGAATCTGAATAATTGACGATTAAGGCCAGACAAATCCCTAATTTGCAACTTCCTACCTAATTCCAGAGATTCAATCCTCAGTTCCTACAAGTTCATGCATGATTCAACCAAAAAAATTGCAATGATAACGAAACAAAGCATGAATTAATCATCTACAAAACTGGATTCAAGAGGACCAAATTTATTAATCAACAATTTCAATATGTTCTACTGCAATCCGTATTATGTAGCTCATACATTCCCCATCCATCACACATTGACACACCCGCATGAAATTCAGAACCACAAGCTGTTTTCGATAAACCCTAATTAAAATACAAACGAAGATAATACCGCAGAGAGAGAGAGAGAGGGGGGGATAGATCAGACGGGGAGATTAGCGACGTCGTTTGGAGGTTCGTTGTTGTGATTGGTGAGGGTGAGAGGGCGGTCCTTGGCCTCGTCGTCGTCTTCGTAGTCGGAGTCGGTGGTGGAGAGGTTGACGCACGAGAAGCGCTCGAGGGAGGAGAAGAAGGCGGTGGACACGGTGACGCTGAGCCAGCTCGCCACCTGGTCAAGCGTCTCCCGGGATATGATACTGTTCCCGTTTTCCATTGTTTTACTTTTCACTTTTTTCTCAAAATTGGGATGGCAGGTTTGATGACGTGATTTTGGATTTATATATATATAGTTGGGACGCGGTTTTAATTTGAATTGGGCTATGGAGAGTGTAAGGCCCAATATAATCTGAAATTTAATTGGGCTTTATGAGATAAGAAACAATCGTTCACGCATGAGTGAATGAGTAGTTATTAATTATCGTCAAATGAATGAAATAATAACACGTTACAAATCGGCAACGACCAAGCAAGGAGCATGGGTTATGGATGTTGCCGAAGTCAAAGGTCTTCCGGTGGAAATTGGTCGGATTAAGGAGGAGAAAGAGATGGGGTTGTAGCCTGCATGAGTGTGTCCGTTTGGAATGAGAAAAAAACTTAGGCAACCTGAGTTTGAAACCTATAGCACTAGTTCTACCCTAGTGTGAGTTCATTGCATGTGAGAGTCATACTATAAAACCTACTAGTTTATATCATACTCATGAATTTAATATATTGAACTCAAATATATTAATCTCATGAGTTCAATATACTGGTATCATACTCATATATTCCAGCCCATTGTAGGAGTGTATTCCAATATGAGCTCAATATATTGATATCACTCACTATTTATGTCCTACTGCGAAAGGCATAATATGAAAATTTTAGAGTCTGATTCTTGATTTTGGGTGGATCTCATATGTATCTTGAATCTTAAAATGTTAATAAACACATACCCTTTAGAATGAGTACAATTTCATTTTTCCACATTCCATCATCGATTAGTACACACGCCAAAAGGGAAGGGACACTCTTCTTTATTTTCTCTCCATCTCGAGTTAAAGCACACATTAACATTGTACCCAAATATTATAACAAGCGCATCTGGTGTAGTGGTATCATAGTACCCTCCCACGGTACTGACCAGGGTTCGATTCCCTGGATGCGCATTTATTTTTGTTTATTTTATAAACCAACTTTTGAATGGCCAAGTGTTTATTTTATGAGGAATTTTTTGTTCTAATATCAATTCTATGGGCTAAAACTTCTATGTCATTTGCATACGTGCGTTATCCCCAATTGGTTAGTGGGCTATCTGCCCATTTCGTTGTACTTAAAGTTCATGTCCCGCTTTTTGTAAATTAAAGTAGTTTTGTCCCGTAAAAACAGATAAGGTAACTCAAGAGTTAATTATAGCACATATGAATCTTGTTGCACATTACAATAGATGCTCTTCATTTTTGTTCATTAGCTTATAAACCTTAAAACAGACAACGTAAAATCGTCACAAAAAGAATACTTTCAAATTATAAAAGAAAAGGCTAGTAAGGGCATATCAATCCAGTTATATTGCTCAACCATTCGATTTAAGGAGGAAACAAAACTACAACACGTATATGCTATCTTAAGACGCTCTGGATTGCGTGTTCTTCCGGCAGTCCTGTAGTCATCGGCCATGAGATGGATGAAATGCTGATAACTTTTTTCTATGACGACTGCAGTATCTTCTTGTAGTCCTCAAAACTGCCATGGAATGGTTGTATCCTACCTTCTGATACCACCCATAGCTCGTCCACACTTCCAGAGATCAGATGCTCGTCGTGACTAACCTGTAAGAAAGAAAATCACGCTTATGAGTCATACTAGTTCATCAAATAACTCCCGTATACAAGCCCTCGTTGCAAATGGAAATTGTGAAGATACTAGAAATGAAATACCATGAGAATGCCTCCTTGGAAGAGCACAAGACCTTGTATTAGTGCCTCCACAGCATCCAAGTCCTGCATGTCAACAGCCATTGCAATGTGAACAAACACGCAATCGGGCAAGGCAGTGTTCTTCGGTTCATTTTATACAAGAAATTCGTAATCCAAAATATTGTTACTTCTTTCGAGCAGTAAAATCATGAGAAGGATTATGACTTACCAGATGATTGGAGGGCTCATCAAGCAATATTATGTGCGGTTTCTTGAAAGTTATCTTGGCAAATGCAACTCTGCTCTTCTGACCACCTAATATACCCCATTTAAGTATTTCGAGAATAATGTTAAAAGCCATAGAGCAACACTGGAATTGACTGTTTCACTAAAACTCACAGCTAGCATAGGATGCTAAAGAATTAACAGTAAATATCCAGTTGTCTACAAAATTAGTTTACGCGTCCCGGCCAGTCTTTCAACTTGGCAAACCATGCCAATCTTAAAGAGGTTCAAGTAAAATAATAGTTCTAGAAATCAATTGATCTCTTTAAACAAATTCACAGTTTGAAATAGAGAATACCAGACAACGTGTACATAGGCTGAAGTGCAAGATTTCCAGAGACACCTAAAGAACCCAAGTGAGATCGGAGCTTTTGTTCAGGTACTCCCTGCACAAAGGATTCTTCATTACTTCACATGATTAATTTTAACAAAAAATAGTAAAAGCATGCTAAATCTGATTATCAAGATTGTTCGCTCTAATGAGACAAAAACACCACGAAGGATTGATGGACCTACCCCAACCCAAAACTAAATTTGTGAGAGTAGTGAAGTTACAATATTGAATGGAAACTTGTCCCCATTGGCAAATGATTAACAGGTATCAATTCCAAGTCTTGTTCAATGATATACAATTTGAGAGGGAAAGCGGCAAAATATTCCTTTTAGGTTGCAGATAAAATAGATCAGGTCCACTGATTATATTCTAGATTTTAAAGCAAAATTATCCTATTCTGGATATGGAAATGGATTCAGAGGGGTTCACTAGCAGGATCCTAGAAAAGAGAACTCAGTATACCACCTCTAGAAACATAAAAAGTTTTTCCATACACATAGAAAAGAGAAGGAAAAAGGTATTATCAAGAACTCACTGGGAAGCAGCGCATCATATACAATAAGGGATTAGAAGATAAATCTAGCCCGTCAACGTGGTGCTGACTGAACACAGCAATCCGTACCTGTAAACAGTGAAGGAGATGCAATGGTCAAGAGTAGTTACCCTGTGTTCTTAGTACACAAGGCACATAATGAAATTAAGTAGCAGAATACCATATTTGCTTAAATAAACAGTACTATCTATAACTAAAATAACTTAGTGGACAACCCTGTGGCATGTTAGTTGAAATCTGAAATTCGTATGATCAATTCAAAATTGTTACCCAGTAAAAGTAATCCCAAGAAACATGCAAGATACCTTAGCCGAACGGAAAACTGTCCCAGAGATTGGTTGTAGCTCACCTGCAATTAGTTTGAGTATCGTTGATTTACCAATACCATTTGGCCCAACCACTGCATAAGAATCATGACAAGCACTATTAAGTATAGCAACACATAAATTCCAACTTATTCATCCAAAAAAGAAGAATCCATATTTCCCAAGAAAATGAGGCCTCAAAATTAAATTATTGAATGAATTGTCATATTTCCACTAAAAACACAAAATATGGAGATACTCTCCATAACAGAACACATAATATATTAATATGCAATATATCAATTTTCAAATAGACAAGCTTAACTTAGCATCCTTACTTGCGATGCGGCTGTCAAGGTCAATTCCAAAATTTAAATTCCTAAACAAAACGGGTCCGCCAGGATAACCAAATGATGCATCACTGCAAAAACATATCACCAGAAAAATACAATCAGCAATTGATCTAAGAGATGAAAACAGCATAAACCTGAAAGTAAAAAGTAAAACAAGCAAAGGATCTCATGTGAGTCACTGAACCCAAGAAAGGGGGCAAAATTCCACTGTATGAGCTGACAAACCTGAAACTTATTATAGGAGGACCAGGTCTGTCGTCTGGAGTTGGGAACTCAAACTTATAGCTGCAAATGAAAAGGCCAGAGGCATTACATAAAGCGGGAAAGAGGACTAGAAATATTGTTTTTACATGCTATTATCCATATAAGCCATGAAGATAAATCAGTGCGTACTCAGGGTCATTTACAATCTCATCCACATGTCCCAACCGGTCCAAAGCCTAAACAAAAGTAAAAAGAGGGAAGATTAGTTCTTTCTAACACAATAAGATCAATACAGCAATCCAATTTAAACATGAAGAATTTTTCTAAATAAAAATTGTTAATGGCCACGAAAGCGGGATTCATAAAGGTAAGCATGCAAGAATACAATAAAATCACCTTAATTCTTGACTGAACAAGGGCGGCCCTCTTGGCATTGTAGCGGAACTTATCAATAAAAGTCTGTAGATCAAAGTAAAAAAAATTGAATGTCAAACATAAGTTACTCAAATGCAGAACATATGTCAAAAAGAGGGGAATAGGAAGACAAAATAAGAGAGTAATTGGACATCCGTCCATATATTTTAAACAGACTGCTGCTCTGGTCGAAGTAAACAGAGGCTAACTACCCTAAATATCTTTTCCAAATCTAAGTCAAACCGCTGTAGATATCACGAAAATAAGAAAATGCATAAATAATAGCATCAATTTGTCATTATTGTATGATGAAAAACCTGCATATGTGCTCTTGAACGCTCATTGGCCTCAAAAGCTTTCTGTTGGTTCTTCACTAGTTCTATTCGTGTCCTCTCATATGTATCATAGTCCCCTTTGTAAGCAGTCAACTTTTGCCCATGAAGATGTAGGATATCAGTGACTACCTGCCAAAAAAGAAAACATGGAATGACGTATAAAGCATATTCTAATGTGCTATAGAAACCATACTAATTAATAATGCAGTTGAAATGAACAAATAAGAAAATAAATCACATAAATTACCGTGTTCAAGAATTCTCTAGCATGAGAAACAACTATGCATGTTTTTGGCCACTTCACCAGGTAAGCCTCCAGCCAGAGGACAGCATGAAGATCAAGATGGTTCTGAAAAGAGAAAAGGAAATACACATAAGGGTGAAAAAAAACCATGCACAAAATTGGTTGAAAAAATGAACAGACTAAAGAGTATGAAAAATAGACCGTGGGTTCATCAAGCAGTAACAAATCAGGCTCTATAAACAGGGCACGAGCAAGAGCTATTCGCATTCGCCATCCTCCTGAAAATGCTTTAGTTGGTTTTCGCTGCATCTCCGGAGAGAAACTAAGACCCTGTAAAATTCCT